GAACAGGTTTCAGAGGTGTCAGAGGTGGATACGTGTTAAATTTTCCACTTTTCTCAGGTATTCAAGGTCAGAAATAAGCCGCAGTTTGAACTTCACTCCAGCGCAACCGCTCTAGCAGGTCAAGCATATCATCGTTCCCTGCAGTCGACACTGATGGATGGGCAAACACGGCGGGAGTAAATGTTAATATTGGTAGAGTAAACAGGCAAGGTGACAGTGTGAATATGCTCGAGTAAGTTTCCAGCGATCGCAGAGCGAAGTGCATTTGTGCTTCGGCAAACGGAGCGAGTGTGCAGTGTTTAATGTTCAGAATTACAACCCTTCTTCTATTTTTAATCATCCGCTGGTGCCGTTGTCTCTTTGTTTCTCAGCGGGCAACGTATTTCCTAAACTCTCAGCATGTTACCAGTCAAACCTTATGCAACACGATGCATGTTGGGAACCCTGTGGATGTTTGAGTCGACCCTGTCTGGAGTGCAAAAGGTCAGACTGTCACCGACGATCCAAATGAGCACTGGCAGAGTCCGGTGATGGCACAGCGAGCCTGTAATGAGGTCAGGATGGTCAATAGCCACCAACAGGCTCAGTGGTGCAGAGAGAATTTAACATGGCTGCTGAGGTTAACAAACACGGTCACCATCCACAGTCGTCTATTTATCCAAAGCACAATGTGCAAAACGAAATCCACAGCGAACGGCTCTTCCTGATAGTTTCATTTAGTCTCTGGGTGGATTTACGAGAGTGTGTCAGCTCAGAGGAAACTGTTCCCGTCCGCCACAGTTTAATGATGTCAACAACTTTATCTCCTTGGATTATTAGTCTGGCCCAAACGCAAACGCTCGTCGATGCAGCATCGGACCAGAGGACAACTGTTCCAGCTGAAGATTTATTTTCGGCCCTGACAGATGCAAAACTTAACAAACCTCCGCTGTGACACATCAGCTGTCTCCTAAAGCGACATCGTCCTCGCTACAACCTGCTGCCTTGTACTCAGAAAGAAAGGCAGCAATAAGATGAAGTCATTTCACTCTTTTTAGTACAATTTCAATCCAAATGTATGTCGACATAATCATGTACAACTTCCTCAACTTGTTGGGATTATACTGTATCTGAATCTAGAGCAGGGATCTCCAACTCTGGTCCTCGTCAGCTACTGTCCTGCAGGTTTTAGACGTTACAGTAGCTGACGAGGACCGGAGTTGGAGATCCCTGATCTAGAGTATGTCAACAATGAATGACACATTTGTGTGTTTAAACTTCTGATTTAACGAGAGTTCAATAAGGAGCACCACAATCTTAAATGCAGGGATCAACAGTTTATCAACCTGGCTGATTATCAGAGTCATTATTCAGCTTTTTATTGCAAACTTTAAACAATTTTCTTACTGAGGCAGCCGAACCATCAAGACTCAATTAATCAATATCGCAAAATAAACTCAGTGGACGTCACGTTGTGTTCTGAGGTCGCTGTTTTAAAACATTCGTGGCTACCTCGACCTGTGTCATGTATCGAGCATCACTCTAACAGCCCTCTAATATGGCATTAAGCAGCACAGGAGGCTTCATCATGGCGCCCCTTCACTTGCTGAACCCCCATAATGCTCTCTGCTCACCAACCCAGAACCACCTCCTGAGGTCGCTACAAACACCAACAGGCACTACAGCTGATCTACAACATCCAGCTTCTTCTGCCTTATCGGTTGATATATTTTTAATCCATTGAATTAGTGAAAACTATTAATAAATTATTCATCCTTTTCCCCGACTGATTCCCAGTAAAGTAAGGCTCTGATGCAACAAACCATCAACACTGAATAAAGAACAAATTATGACATTTCTTCCTGATTAAACACAAGAAACAAAAGACATTTTAACTAAATACGGTGATGGAGTTTGTGCTATTCTAAATTTTAACACTAAGATTTTCATTTTCAGTTCCAAATACCGTAAATTCTGGACTATAAGCCGCTACTTTTTTCACACACTTTGCACACTGCAGCTTAAACAACGAAGTGGCCTCGAGACCAAAGTGACATTGAGAACGACAACGAAAGAGAGACTGAGGAAGTGTGTGACGAAGTAATTCTGAGGCTGTTCAACTCTGACACTGAAGAAGACGACTTTAGTGTTTTTTGGAGGAAGATGAAGACAGCGATCAGTGACTTTTCCTGGTAGGCGGCTGTATTTTTTATTTTCTTAACCAGCCGTGTTACAGGAACTGTTCGGGAAAAAGCATTTACGGTATTTGTGTATGTTACTGGTACGTATTTAATTAAAAGTTTAAAAAAGTCTTTCTGTGTAAATATCTCATGTTACAACGTGGACACCTGCAGCTTATAGACAAGTACGGCCTCTATACGTACAAATTAGTTTTCTTTTAAAGTTAGTGGGTGCGGCTTATATTCAGGTGCTCAATAGTCTGAAAGTTACGGTACTGATTATCAGTCTGTTTGATTACTAATAATCAATATCTGGTCTGCAAAAAAACCATCGACCTCTTACGAAATAAGCCAGAAAAAGCCCAATTTCACCATTTTAGTTTAACTGATTTCCTCATGATCTAAAGCTTATTTTATCAGCTTCCTGATATATTAATTGAAAAATAGCTTCAGAACAACAGAAGCTGAAAAAATCTGATTTTTATTGATTGCTGGTGTGTTCTTTACGTAGCCGGCATCACTAATCCATACAAAGAAGAGGCGTCACTGGTATGTCAGTGTGACACAGTTCCTAATCATAATAATGCTAAAAATGCACAGCAGAACAATCTGTACTCGTGACCTCTATAAATAACCCATGATTTATAATTTGCTGAAGCCGCTACAGATTAAAGGGCCAGAAATCCTTTGAGGTCTATAAGCATGTCTTCCCACTGACTCAGAGCAGAGACACAGTGTGGCTCCGCTGTGTTTAGTCCAGCACAGGGATGCAGAGAAACGCTCATCAAGCTGGTGTCCACTTGAAGCTACAGAATCAAAGCTGTCTAGACGAATGTGTGGCTCAGAAATCAAAGCGCTCATTGAGAATTATTGATGTCTTAAGCATGTACACGGGGGTTTAAAGCTGCAGCAGATAAACGGCTCCATATATCACCGGGTAGTTTAGACTAGAGGCTTGTGTTTAAAGTCTTAACGTGAGGAATGACTGCAGCGACCAGATATATTTAGCAGAGCAAAAATGAACATGGATCTACAATATGCAATGGCGCAAATGGAAAACTCTCACAAAATGTAGAAAACACTCTCTCTCTGTGCTCAACACGCTTGCTCTTCAGAGATTCGTAATGAGGTTTTATGATATCAGAGATTTCTGCTTCACCCCAGAGGCGAACGCAGTGTTGTTGTTTGTGCTGCTCGGAGCGCCCAAATGTGACATTGTTAATGTGGCATGAAAAATGTGAGAGAGGCTACTCGCTCACAGAAATGCCAAAGCTTTGTGCAGCTCAAATAAAATGCCATGCACCTCTATTGTACCGGGGCACAGGCACAAATGTCAGAGGCAGATTTCTCCAAATCGCAGCTGAGATCTGTGACCCTTTAACCCCCAGTTCTTCCAGTGATCCAATGTCTTCCAGGAGGCAAGTTTTCCATCTTATCTCCACTAACTCTGCCACAATAATTTCATTTGAGATCAGCTGCTGCCCCAAACAGCTTGATGAAAACATGGCTGCTGGTGACACCACACCCACCATTGATTCCAGCCATCAGACAACACACTCCTGTTTGTGCGCTTCTTCATCTCCGCGCAGCTTCCTATAATTTGGGACAGCTCGTGCACGGCCGCCTGCATTTCCACATCTCAATTTCTGGAACAATGTCTACTCTCACAGGAGCCCGTCTGCGCGTGCACGCTGCAGTCTGCGCGTTATCAGCAGGGGCTCCACTTCAGTCACAGAGCAGCGAGGCCGCGAGTCTCCAAATGCGCTATGACTCACTGAAGCTGCGTGCGTGCTTTGGGTACGTGCGTGCGTGCATGCAGCTCAGTGCAGCACAGTCAAAACCTGTGTGAGGACAAGTGTGTGTGTGTGTGTGTGTGTGTGTGTGTGTGTCCTTGGTTTGGCACGACACACTGAAGCAAAATATTTCCTCTTGCGCGCGAGGCTCCGACTATAACATGATCCATAGAGAGACTCTTATGAAACGCACCTTTTCTTTTTTTTCTTTCCACTGCTGCATCTTCTTTTAATCTCTCAGATGTTTTTCTGCGAGCCAGCACAGGGGCCAGTGAACACACACACACACACACACACACACACACACACACACACACACACAAGGAGACACACCTCCATTTGACATTGACACATATTATATTCCCCCTGGCGCGCAAAGAGCCCCTTCCTCGACCACCACCACCACTACACCAACCAACCACCCTCCTCTTCCTCATATTACAGAAAAAACAAACACACACAACCTTACATTTAAACAAAAAAGTATTTCACCGTGAAGCTGTAGGCATAACTGCTGAAACACCACAAAGGAAACGGCACCGATGCGCGTTTTGGGGTTGGAACAAAAGAGGAAAGGATGGAGCGATTCGTGCAAAAATGTCAATAGTGGCCTATATTCCGTTGGCTGTGGATGTGAAGCCATGCCATTGAGCTGTCATGCTTGGGTCGCTTATTATGGAGAGAGAAAGGGGGAAGGGGTGATGAGGGGAGGGGGAGAGCAACAAAGACCCGCTGGCGATGCCACATGTGCGCGTCAATAACACGCACTCTCTCTGCCACAAGCGCACTCTTACGCACGACAAATGTCTGTTTTTTTTGTGCATGCGAGGAGACATTTAAGGTGAAAATCCTTCCAGAAATGTGAGAATCTTTGCCACCAGGCGTGCAGCGTTAAATCCCACCTTGCATCCTTGTGCATTTCTACAAAAACACCTTTTATTGGCTTGTTGCACGACTGTTGAATGACAAAATCTCCACCCGTCTGACTTTCTCCAGGAGAAAACACTTGTGTATGGGGAGGTGAGAAAAACAACAAAAACAAACTCACCTTTTTTTTAAATTCCGCAGATGGGGAACAAAAAGAATCTTCGTGCAAAAAAAAATAAAATAATCAAGGACTTGTAGAAATCAATGGCAAGTCTCGGTGTCCAGTTTTCTTCCTCTCGCTCTTTCTCTCCAACCTGCCGCTCCAATCTTCCCGCTAATCTCCTGTTATTTCACTTTTTTCCTCCACCTCCTTTATTTTCCTTCTTGCTCTCAGTGTCCCCCCAGTCCTATGTGTGTGTGTATGTGTGTGTTTCTGCTTTCTCCAGCAGGAGGAAAATTCAGCACAGAAAAAAAAAATGTAGCGGTCAATCAAACTGGCAAGATGGAGCCAGGGAGTTTTTAGGGGTGATGAGAAGTTAACTCCTCACAGTAAGTACGATGAAGTGGTTTATTTTAACTCTGACGCATAAAATGCGGTGTTTCAGAGGGATCGTGGCAGCTACAACGTGGGATCAGACTAAATCCTGGTGTGATATCAGGAGAAAACAGCGCGCCTCTGCTTCTGGCCACCCCTCCTCAGGGCTCACATTGGTACAGTCCAGCCTTGTTGAGATCGTGGAGCGGAGCCGAACGCGCGAGCCTTCCCGCCCTGAACCGAGCCGTCAGGTAAATAAACACACCTGGACTTAAAACGTGGACCGGAAGGAAAAGGAAAGGGAGGGTTCTGCTTAAAGGAGCCCGACAGGAAGCCTCCGCCCCGGGGGACAGTCTGAGGGAGTGGAGGGGGTTCTGGTTCCAAGTCTGGATCACAAACTTTCCATCTCATGAAGTGACCTTTTAGATTTACATTTAAAACACATCCTGTGACTTTATAAGAGGAAGGTGCATGAAAAGCATAATGAAGCTATAAAATACCAACATTAAAAGTATTAATACTAAAAAAAAACAAACATGATATATGAATGTCTAATGTCTGCAACACTCCCTGCAGGTATTAGAGTTTGTAAAATAAGTTTAAATTAATTAGTTTAATTATTCTTATTAGCATGACCAGATAATGGCATGCATGCATTGTGAAAAAATTAATAAGAAATCAGTTTTTAAAAAAGTCTGGCAGCAAAGGTGCGAGAAATCTTTTTAAAAAGCAGTGAAATATTGTAACATGTTTTTTTTTAAAGTAAAAACAGTGATTACATTTAACTGTTATTAGTTTTATTTTATTTTATTTTTTAGCAGATTACAGTGTAATTGTGCAGTCACATGCTGTAAAAGACCAAATTATTATTTGTAAAAAACAAAAAACAAAACAAAACAAAAAAAAAACAATGTTGATAATCTACAGTTTTGGCCTGTTTTCATTTTGTTTGTTTGTTTTTTTAACCGTCAACATGTGAATTAATACCTTTTATATGTAATTTTGCCAGAGATTATCTGCAATTTAGTAAAACCATAAAAATCTGTGAAATAACAGTTGGGAAAAAAGCCACTTAACACAGAATTTTCCTTTTAAATAACAGCAAATGTCTATAAAATGACTTTTTTTCTGACTTCATACATTTTTTTACAGTCAAGTTTTTAGAAAAAGAACAAAAAAAAAAAGTTGTTTTACAATATGTGGCAAAACAAATTGCAGTTGGAGTCCTACTGATCCTGCAGCTTCCTCCCACTGTGCACTGCGACAAACCACTTTAACATTCAGTAGCTGGACTGGATATGTATTATAGATATATATATATATATATTTGCAGTTCAGTTCTTCCCGTAGACAACAAGAGCATTTCAGAGATCCACAGAGTGATTCTTCTTAGGACAAATGACATCACTTATCAGAGATACAATCCAGCTGCAGATATCTGCGGATGAATTATAACTAGTTGAAATTAAAATTTCAGAAATCAACAGTTTAATTCTGACTTGTCATAACTCCAGTTTAAGATATCTTTAACTCCCCGCAATTCAGGACAGCAACATTTTTAAATATCTTAAACTAAGTTTGGACTAGTCTAAGTGATGTCGTAGATATCTCAAATATGAACTATGACTCATCAAAATGTAGCTACACATATCTTAAATCAGTGTTTGATTAGGCTGATATCTGCAACCACAAGTGGAGCCGGAGGCGACCAGCAGACTCTGGATCTGTAACCAACGAGCTCTTTTCCTGCCATGTCGGAGCAGCGTGAAGCCAAACTTCTAGCAAATTTCCACCACAAGCCTCGAATGAACGAAGCGCTCCTTCTCCACAAACTGATGATAATCTAATCCCCCGCGGCAACCGCAAAAGACTTTCATTACTTTGCTGCACAAGTGTGACCTTTAAGTCCAGTGCAGAGCACACAGTGGACTTCATGTTAGCTTTGGTGCACGGCTCGAGGTCCAGACATGCAACCAGAATAATGGAACACCTTTAACTTGTTCTTCAGTTGAGCACATTTCCAAAGAAACTTAAAATTCCAATTAACCCATGACCTTTCCAGCTGTTTCTCAAATTAAAAAGAAGTTCAGAACTGGATTTTAAACTTTATCATAGATTGACTGATTTCGATTCATGTTTGACATCATGCAAGCTAACACTGGATGCTCCAGTTTTCAGATTAAATCATGAATTTTACATATTAATCAGACACTAACAGTCATATAAATACAATAAATCGTAAGTGGGGTTTGAAAAGGAGCCCTTGATGTCTCACTTGCTGTCCTTTATTTACACTTTACTTCTCTCTGCTTACTTAAAGGTGGATTAACCGACATGGAGAAAGGCTCATTTGATGTTCCGTTTCAGTTTATGGTAACCTAATACTTTATGTTGAGCCATAAAGTACACATAAAACCTCGGTGAGTATAAACACTGTAAAGCGTTTGACCTTTAAGTGGTGAACTTGCATAAGTCTGTTTTTATATGGACTCCACAGTGAGCTCTTTCATACAGGAACAGAGGGAAAAAATAAACCTGACATATGTAATTCCCGCTGAAACTGTGCCGTACAGTGAACCGAACCCAGAGAAGCAGAGCATCGCTCATCAGGTCTGTGGTTATGTAAAGCAGGTCATAGTTTCCCCAAGTGACACGCTTACTCATGTTTGTGTTGCCGATGGATGACCGCATTGTTTCCTGAATGTGTTTCCCGGCTACATTTAGAACGGAAAGAGACAAGAAGATGACTGAAACATTCCTTAAGGGGTTTAGAACTAATCTGTGGTTCCATGTAGGGATCACAGGGTTTAATTGTGATATTTAGAAGGATTTCTTACAGCTATTGTGGCTGCATGATGTTTATCCTATCAACCACTATTAGACCATCCTACTGTGTGAGTTTTAAATGCTACAAATAGCAAACTACACGGATTCTTCCGGGATGAAACGCACTCAGTATGTTCTGTGCATCATAGTTGGCCCTACATGAACCACCTTACATAATGATCCTCCAGCCGGAGCTGCTGTCATGCTGCGGCGAGCCAGATATTTGTTCCACCAGATTCAAACAAGTTACTGTGTCGCTGTGAATTCAGTCCAAAGCGACACATACAGTACGAGTTCTGAAACCTGACTCACTCCGCCATACGCTCAAACTTTATGCCTCCGTTTCAGAAGAAGGTCTAGATTGGTGGTTGAGAAAAGCAGCTCTTTTTGTCAGCTGACTTATTTGTTTCATTAAAAGCTGAGACGGCATGTGGAGAGAAGACACAGCAACAGTTGGTCCAGTTGTATATCGATGGTTGTTGCTGATCTCGGCCCACCAGCTGTGCAGCACAGCTGGATTAAAGGGCTTTCAGGTGACGTAACACACCCTCTGGCGGTCACACCAAGAGGTCTGACATCAGCGGTAAATACGTTGTTGACAAGACGCGAATCAACATCCTCAACAGGCGTAGCTACATTTTTGTCATTCCACCAAAACAGAGAAATTCAACCATTTTGCATTTACATTAGCTAGTTCGCCATTTTGATGGTTGCCAAGCTGTGCTCCAGTTTAAATTGAATCTGTGATTGAAGATTGTAAAAAAAAAAAATAACGAAATTAAGTAGAGTGCTGTTTGGTGAATGACCTGGTCACGGCCTACCTGCTCTTATGCTACTTGTCAATCTGCTTGGAGGACGTGTTCCAGACATTCATGGTATCTTAAAGTCTATGTTTTCCAGCACATGCTGAGTTGGTGCTGATGTTGCGTAGTGACAAAAAACTGGAGGGCACACACAGACACTTGTGTACAACCTTTGATGATGAAATTTTGATTTAAATTCATGTGGAAACTAGAACAGTAGCCTAACACCTCATTTCTACATAGTTCTGTGTGCGTATGCGAGTCAACTCATTTCTATGGGAACCTCCCTGATCGCTGACGTGTTTGCAAAACTCCTCCTTCCATTATTTTTTTTCCCGTCTGGAATTTGCCTCAAATATGTTGAAATGTTTTTAAATTTTGTCGTGGATTTCAGAGAGACCACACTGCTTGGAAGTAACAGGCTAGCAGCTGCCTGACTATGAGACTCTCAAAATGTGTAAATGTATAATTAAATATAAACTAGTTTAACACATGCTAGCTGCATACTTTACAGCGTGCATGCAAATATTGCACAAAACTGGAAGCAGGCCAACGTCAGCACTTATTTCTCACCATACATTCTTGGTCCTGTTACTCTGTGTACATATTCCAAGAAATTGGATGATTAAAAATTAATAAAGCTAGTTTTTCCTCAATGGCTGCGGTGGAGTTTGTATCAGCATTCCCTTACATTGAACACCAGGGGGCAGTATCTGTATATTACGCACGTTTCACAGTTGTGTGAAAACAAACTCTTGAAGAGTCACTGAGGAGGTGGAGGTGTACTCCAGCATGTGAAAGTACCTTGGACTGTAGATAAAGATGGTCGAACCCTCGGTGATGTCAGCGTGTGGCGGCTCTGGTGGTCGTCATGTTGGCAGTGCCTGACTCCTCCTAACTGCAGTCTAATCCAACAACAAGCAAAGAGATTTAGACCTTAATACAGAATAAATTCTGCAAAAATTCCCCTGTACAGTTGTCATGAAGAAGGAAGTTAGTTATAGAGACCAAAAACAGGCTGTAAACACGTTAATTCATGCTGTAAAGTTGGACATTTTAGTATGAGGATCTACTGGGATTGACTTACTTTGGAGCCTCAAGTGGTCACTGGAGGAACTGCAGTTTCTTGGAACTTCCCCACTGGCTTCGTTTTTCAATCCTGGAGGTTGCTGATTGGTCAGTACACGATGACATCACCATTGCGTGTGGTCACAGGTGAAACTTTTTCTACCCCAGAGGGCAG